ACCATCTAAAATATTAAGTTGTGGACAATTAGTTTGTTGGCCACTTTCAAATATTACATTCTTGGGAGAAGAAAAGGAACCATCATCTAGAGAATCATTAAATACAGAAAGAAAATATAGATTTATTAATAGATCTCAAATCAATTTAAAGTTAAGGGTCCAGTTCCAAAACATAAGCAATAATCACTAGCTAAGGCACATATAAGAAAAGTCTCTACTCTTGATTACTACTCTCAAAGGTACATAATAAACATATATAATTTTACAGCTTATAACTAAAGATTTAATTCTTTATTATCAGGTGTTGTAAAGTTGTAAAGAGAAATATGGAATTCATGTTGGAAAGACCGTCTTGAATTTATTTAAAGTTTTTTTCTATGCTAAAATACATTCAAAAAACTTCGATATAGATTTTGGTATGGTTCTATCCTAGAACTATTTTAGTCAAGCATATGATTATTTCATCTGATAGCGTAATATTGTTTCTCATGCTCTAATTTTGCAGTTTGTAAACCTTACTTTATAAGCTGACACTCATTGCATTTAAAAAATGCTAGTATGCTTTGCAATGATTACATCTGGATGTGATTTATAAATTTTGTCATTTTTTTGTTCCAAAATGACCTTGTGATCCAAACTTAACACTTGGTTTATTATCAAAACTTCTACTATATTTAAAGCATGAAGAAAAAGGAATAATTATAAAAGGGCAAGAGTTGCATAATGCTTTACCTGATAATAAAGCATTTATTAGTCATCAACTTCAAAAAGAGTCAAAATCTTTAAATAGTCCAAATAATTTTACTTTAGCTTCAATATAAAAGTACATCAGACCTTGTGCACTCCTTCAATAGTCACGACTACTAGTGCACTAAGTTTACCACCAAATCTTTTATTAACACTTGATAATTGTGGATCAGAAAACAAAAATTGATGGTTATTTGCATATTTATCCCTATTTGTAGCTCATGAATGTTTTAATATAATCACTGTTAGTTTTCTAATAGTGGGGCATATGTATGAGGATATTGATGTTTTATTCAATCATGTTTCAGATTCAATTCAGCATTAAATATGTTTAACATTCCCACATATGTTACATCAACTGCAAAATTGTATTTCTAATGGGCTTGAAAGACATTTTATAACAGAAGTGCTAGATTTTAAAAGGTTTGTGCATGGTTAATGATGGTGCAAATGAGCTTCAAAGACATTCTAAAACATTACAATTTCACTTTTCTATGAAAGGTAATTTTCCAGTTATTCAATATAAAATGTGAGTTTTTCATCAAGAATCTATTACCTTTAACTAAGGTTGATCCATTAGTTATACTAGGATTACAAAACATAATAGATAAAAGGATTTCCACAAAAAATAATTATATTAATAGTTATAATATCAAAATAGAGCTTGTTCTTAATTATTGGAAAAAAAGTAGTAAATACACCATCAATTCCTCCAATAGTTAATTTAAGATTTTTAAAAGGATTTTGGCTATATTCACGAAGAGAGATTAACAAAAAAAAGAGTCATATAATGAGAATAATGAACTTGATATACTAGATAATCATTATGTTGATAAAAAAATCAACAACCTAAATTTTGTTTTATCATCTCTAAAATTACTGAAGGATATTATGTATTTGTAAGTCCAAAAGATATTATATATCCAATATGGTTAGGAAGATGTGTGGAAAACCCAAAACTTATATGTGCTATTACAGAAGTCAAAGTTCAATGGTATATACTATATGGTCCATATAATCAACCAAACAATCAACAATATATAAGGTGGTAGATAAAGAAATGGGAATTGAATCTAAAAGATCCTCAAATGACACTTGGAAATATTATCTTTTGTTAGTTTTGTAAACTATAGACACATATAGTTACTCATCCAAAGTTTGTTATTAAAGGTGTAGGACATAATTTAAAATTAGAAATTAGGTAATTTCTTATTTTTGAAATAGATTCATTCTATAATTAATTATTTTTAACAGGTGATATAAATTATGAAGTAAAATAATTATACTTTAAATGAATAAAAATATTTAGTTGATAGTAATTTTTCTTAAAAGTAAATAATTGTTACATTAATTCTTAAATTCTTTAATATTTTAATTAGAAGTAATAAATTCAAATATAATACATAAATATTTTTATAATTTTATTTATTTTTATATATGAATATCATGGCTGGCTGTTCCACTCAATACAGAATAAGCATTTCCAAAAGGCTATTAAGTGGATATTAAGATGAAAATAATTTATATTTATATTCTTAATATTTGTTGTGCTACAAGAGTAGAGCTTTAGTTAAAAAGCTTAGCTGAAACTTAATAAACTTCATTAAAGTTTAGAAATATTTTTAAAATATTCTATTTTGAAAGATTCCTTTAAATCTCAAATTTAGTAGAGTTTCCCAAATTAATAAAAATAGGATTAGCTTTGCATAACTCCTTTTCTTTGCTATCAAATATTCCAGCAAATTTAGTATCTACCATCTTTGTAATCTCCCTATTTATCCACTTCTGGAATTGAACCATTCAGACAAGACAATTTTCAATCAAAAAGTTCCCATACCCTGAATAGAAATGAAGCTAGAATGGTCCATATGAACAGATACCATTGTCTTGGTTCTCTTTCAACCCTGTGGATCAAGTGTAACTCTGAAAGGCTCAATGTTTTCTCAATTTTTGTATTCAATGTGTAAAGTAGATGTAAGTGAAGCAATGCATCCTACAGATTTAAATAAACATTCATGCTATAGAAAAACAAAAATAATACAAATTACCATCTTGAATGGATGTTTGTATTGTCCTAAAAAGGTGTAAATGCTTATTTGATCTCTTGCCAACATAGCCTATTCAGCTTCATGAAGTGAAATAAGTGCGTGTATATGACTTAGCCTCATAGTGCACTACAAATGCTGACATAAGATCTCTAAACATACTCACTCTAAAGTATTCAGGACATTGAAAGAAACACACTTTTGTAAAATATAAATCTTTAAGTCCCAAAAATGGAACTGAAAGTGTGTCATGTGGTAGTAGTTGAAGCAAAAGTGTAATAAATATAATACATTTAAACCAAAAACTCCATGCTTGTGTTTGTTTTTTACGCATTTCTTTAGGAGTTTCATTCCCACTCTTGATTTATCAAGGATCAATTAGAAAGGGACAAAAAAAAGATTGACATCAAGATTAAATCTGAAACCAAGTCTAAGATTGAGTCCAAAACTAAATTTAAAGTGGAGTCTGAGACCAAAATCAAGACTAAGTCCAAGTCTTAGTCCAAGGGTGAGCATTATTGTGGACAAAAAAGAACTTCAACATTATGGACTAAACTAACACAACTATATAATACTAACAAAAATCAAATTGAGAATTATAAAAGCTCAACAATATAAGTACTCATGAATGGAAGGTTTAATATTAAAGAGATGTAGGCTAAATGGGCAGAGCACTTGGACCAAATATAAAGTTAATATAACTTTAAGATCACCTTTAAGGCTAATAAGTGCTTTAACTTGGGATGAAAATTGTAATGTATATAATTTTCATCCTTTACCCTATAGTCATTTATTATAAGATTATCACAGAGTGGAACCTAAACCCATTAGCAGCCCCATGTCCAAAATAGCAGAGTGGAGCTTAAGTTATAAGGCCTTAGGCCACTAAACAAAGGGACAAAATTAAACTCTATGTAACCCAAGGAGTGAAAGATAGAAGCATGGAACAACATTAAAATCCTTTATGATTCAAAAGATAATTCCTGGCCTAGTGATCATCTCTTTTGCATCAAAAGTATTTCTAGCTCTTTGGCTTAATCCAGAATCCCCAAATTCTCAATCTACTAGCTTCCCAAAAGTTGCCATTTAATGATCTACCCTTCCTACCTTTAGCGTTAGATTTCATTGGAGGAATGAAATCCTGTAGTGTATTTGCCTACTTGAACAACTCTTTGACCTCCAACTCTCAAGCATCCCTTACAACATCTCAGGAAATTGATTCTCCATCCTCATGAATAAGTATTTCTTGAGCCCATCTAAGAAATAATCTCACAACTGCCAATCTTGAAGCATTGAAGGCCTTAGCTACACTACAGTTAAACATCTGTATAAGCCCACACTATCTTAGATTCCTTCTGCTTCTTTATCTGAATCTAGCCAATCCAAGCCTAGCTCATATCTACACGGATGATCCTAGAGTTCCTCATTATTGGCATTCCAGATGTGTTGGCCAAGTTGTCATTGCAAATATTCATGCTGTATATAGACCACCCATTGACCTTGTTAGCTATGAAGAGACTGGAGAGCCAATCCTGATTTTCATCTATCTGACCATCCCCGTTGAAAGAAGGAAGCTTGAACTTTTCTGAAATCATGGAATTTCGTGAAATATAATGAATCCTCCTGCCTTTAAAAACTTGTGGAGAGGGCTTATGTTGGCCCAACCTTGCCTCCAGAAGCTTCTTTCTGTGTGGAGGGTGAATTCCCACCAAATTCATAACTGCTTCCAGCGATTCAGCCACCTTTTAAAGAACCAATTGGACCGTAGGCTTTACTTCTCTAATACCAAGGGTGGAGCGAACAGTTCAAGACAGGGCTGATCCATGTCAAGGGTACCACAAGGCAGCGATCGTTGTGGTTTAAGGAAGGATTGGCAAGGCCGAGAGCGCGGAACAGTGCTTTGATTGGATCACTGGCAGGAATGCGATCTGCTGGAATGCGCTGCAGTACTAGTTTGATCCCTTTGATTTCTCAGGAGCGATTGCCGTTTCATGATGAATTTGATATATATGATTTAAACCATATTAGCCACACTAATAAACTCATTTCCACTATGTTATATGCCTTAGTTTTTAAGAAATTCACTGTGTTAGAATATATTTATTTGATTTTTATCATTCTAAACTATTTTTATTTCTTTTTTTTTCATTTAATGCTGGTAGCATTTCCTTAAAAATATAATACAAGAAAATTAAGTAATACATAAACTTGTTGAAGAGCCAAAATACACTCTTAGTTAAACTATATTCTTAAACCCTAAACTTTAAACCCAAGTACAATCTTTCAATTATCCATTGAGATGAGTTCTACTTCTAAAACACGTTCCTGGTGGCGAGCCTCACCTATTTGACAAGACATTATGAGCTTCGAAATTCATGTGGTGGTGCTGCTGATGGTAGACCTGGGGAGCAGCAGCATGAACAAACCGAGCTAGAGGTCTGGTTACCACAAACCCATTGCCCCCATTCTCACCTCTCGGCTGCCACTCCACATTGTAAGAAGCAATGCTCCTCGGAAACTCTGCGCCACCACCACTTTGAACAACGCCTCCATGCTTCCCTGCTACCGCTAAAACTTGGTTCTTGGCAATCCTTAAAGCTCTTAGAATGTCTTCCACGCTGGTGTTACTAGGAGCGCCGAAACCATTTGAAGACGAAGATTGCGTAGAGCTCTGCTCTCCTGTCTGAAGATTTCTAGCCTCGTTTCCCTGTGATCTCACCCCAGATTCTAAACTCTCCGAAACCTTGAGCGTTTCTTCGGTGGAAACCGGTGGCTCCTGTTGGCTACAAGAAACCGCTGCTTCTTCTCCTCCCATGCAAGCTTGTTCTTCGTGAACTCCGGGAAAAGTTTGAATGATTTCTCCGCTCGATCCCGCGTTGTTGGTGGTAACAGCCTGACAATGAAAACAAGGGCATCGTACAAACTTGGCAGTAGCAAACGACACAAAGTACCTGGAGTCCACCGTCACCCGGGTCGTGATCGTGAGGAGCATTAAAGTTCTCGCCAGAAATCCCGCTGTTCTTGACGTTCGTGGCGCTGGCCTCCATACCAACAACGCTGCTGCCGCTGCCGCTGCTGCTGCTGCTGCTACTGCTACTGCTGCCATCGCTTTCCGAAGACGCAGTGGAAATCTCTTGCTGCTGCTGATCAACTTTGTCGATCTCGAGCTGTTCTCCACTCCAAGATTTGCTCTCAAACAGATCCATCACACGGGCCAGCCATCCACTCTCGCTCCCCGCCACCTCCCGGATCTTCGCAAGCTCGACAACGTCGGCTCCAACTTTCGTCCAGGAGTTTTTCACTTGTTCGTCAACTCCAAGTTCCCTGGAACAAAAGAAGCATAGGATCATAGAAAACCAGGCAAGGAAAAGTGAAAGAGAGTTTAGAATACCATGCTTCCTTCCTTCGGAGAGTTCGACATGATCTTCCCACTCGTCTTGGGACGAGCGAAGAGTCCGAGACTGGCGATTCCGAGGGGCTGCTTTGCTCGATCGTGTCACCTTCCATGTCCGAGTAGTGTCGCTTGGCGACGCCGATCCAGTTTGGCTTGGATTTCTTGGATGCGGTTGCTTGCTCCTCGTCGTCATCGTCTAGTTGTGGATCGTCGCTGGCTGCGTTGGAGTTTTCCGGGGCCAGCTTCACTCCGGCCTCGTCCAGCTTGAGCAGTAGCTCTTGGATCACGTCCTCACATCTCTTTCGGTGATGGATCTCGGCTTCCAGGCTTCGTTCCAACTCTTTCACCTGCGAGAAAACCCGTGAGCTCGAATAAAAGAACACAGCACAAGAAAAAAAGAGAAAAAAACTTCCACCTTTTTCGTAAGTTGTTGGACGTGTTGCTTCGCAGCTCTGGAAGAGTTTCTCTCGGACAAGAGCCTGGCTCTAAGAGATTCAATAATAGCAGTAGACTCTTCGGTGGAAACCTTCCTGAAACTTATAAGCTCATGGTACAAAATAGAAAAAAAAGAAGAAAAAAACCAACCTTTCAGCTGGAACCGAAGAGGAGATCGATGAGGATGAAGACGAAGAGGATGGCGCTGTTTGGTTTTCTACCGCTTGGACTTGGATGCTTTGCTCGACAATTTCTTCCGGAGTGGACACTGGAACTACTTGGTGTTCTTGCGAAACTTGAGCGTGACCATTTTCTTTCATGGGAATTCCCTCCTGTTCTTCTGATCCCATGGCTATCCAGTAGAACAGTACTATATGCAATGAAGCCCAAGACCTGTGGATGGCACAGTCAACTTAACGAGCCGCGTGGAAAGATTCAAAGGCGAATCAATGGAGCTCCCACACAGATCTGGAAACGAGAAAAGTCCCTCCATGTCCGCGTGATCGTCTTTGATCCGGGGGAGAAACTCGACCAAAAAACCCAATGTAGGTACCTTATCTCTCACGGAATCCAGAGAAAGCTCCGGCCAAGCTCCTCCAAGCTTCCAATTCCACCATCGCTCCAAGAACACAAGATTGTGGTGGCCAGAAGAAATTCCCCAAATCACCGGAAGGAGTAACTCTGGAGTGGTGGAGTGGACTAAACCAGCGAGAAAACAGGGCCGACTCAAGAACAAGAAAAAGGCAAGCCACTCACACAGTCACTCACTCACTGAGCTCTGGAGCAAGAGGACAATGCACACTCTGGAAAAGAGAAAAAAAGAGAGTATAAAAAACAGCGGAAAAATGTGGAGGGTATCTACAAAACCTGGATTTCTAGACAACCCATCACTCGAGATTCACTCTTTAAGTTTTTCCAGCGGCCTTCGAGAGATCAAACTAGTCACTCCAGTGTTCTTGAGGATTCGATCGAAGAATCAATGCAATGAAGAGCTCAAGAGCTCTCTCTCTCTCTCTCTCCTTTTTTATCTTTTTCCCCGTGTCAGATTCTAGTTTGGTAAAACCATGTGAACGCCGAAGCATATCCGAGGAATATCCACGGGCGGGGTAAATATTCGGGCATCGTTCTGGGCCATAAGAATCCATGGAAACGAAGGACGCGATCAACCAGGTCGAGCCCACTTCATCAAAATTGGGCGAGGACTGCCAGATCGATAGGTGCTGCCGGTAAGATATCGCAAGAAAGAGGCCCCAATGCTGGGATTCTACACAAAGTTTGAGAGCGACGCAGGCTAACGTGACAACACGTTGCTCAGTCAGGATCCAAGGAACAGAAATAGAACAAAAATCGAGAAAAATTATAAACCAAAGAAGGATCTCGCGAGTGATCCAATGCCGGAATTTAGGTCAAAAACTAGCGGGAGGAAGGGGACGAAAGCTGATTAGTTAGGGCATGATGATGTGGCAATGACCTGGCCTGCCACGTCATTGCATGTGTGTTCCAAACCCTGCCCTAGTACTTTGGCCGTCATCCACAGTCTTCCCGGCGCCGCGGCGGGAGCTCCAGCGACGATCCAACTCCACATTTCTTCCATGCGGTGAATCGAGGTATGGAAATATAGCGCGATCGCGAAGTAGCAATGAGCGATCGCGAAATATCGTCCAGGGAGCTCATGGATTGATTGGCTTGTGTGATCGCCAGGGTTGCCGTGGCATGGATCTCCCCAGGAGCCCCAGGCGATTGAAGAGCAGCAGGGTTCCACTGCGATCGCTCGCTCGGGTGGCTTGCGTCGCGGCCGGCGTCCAGTTTGGGTGGGCGCTCCAGCTCTCTTTGCTCACGCCTTACGTCCAGGAGCTCGGGATTCCTCACACTTTCGCGAGCTACATATGGCTGTGTGGGCCGATCTCGGGAATGCTGGTCCAGCCCATCGTCGGCTACTACAGCGACAACTGCGAGAGCAAGTATGGGAGGAGGAGGCCTTTCATCCTCCTCGGCGCGGTGTCCGTCGTCATCGCCGTGGTGATCATCTCTTTCGCGGCGGACTTGGGCTTCGTGCTTGGCGACTCGGGGAAGTCTAGGCCGCGAGCCATCGTGGTCTTCATCCTCGGGTTTTGGCTGCTCGATCTCGCCAACAACACGCTCCAGGGGCCTTGTAGAGCGCTCCTCGCCGACTTCACAGGTGACAAGCTATACCATCTTCTTTGTGAGAACTTACAGTGTGGTTTTTTTTCGCAGGAAAGGATCAACGAAGAACGAGACGAGCGAATGCGTTCTTCTCGCTTTTCATTGCTCTCGGGAACATTCTGGGATTTGCAGCAGGCTCCTACAACAGCTGGCCGAGCCTGTTTCCTTTCACGAAAACGAAGGCCTGCGAGCTACCGTGTGCCAACCTCAAGTCGGCGTTTATGCTGGACATCATCATACTGCTCATTACGACAGCGCTGAGCGTTACTGCAGCGGCAGAGATTCCATGGTCGCCTCTCACAGCGGGAGAGAAGTTTGGCATCACAACGCCGCAGACGCCTTTGCTGCCAGACCAGGAGAATGGTAGCGGCAAGACGACGACGGCGACGACTCCAAGCACCTCGGTAGCTCGTGTGAATCCGGATGACGAGGAAGAGGAGGAAGAAGAAGAAGAGCCCGTCCAGGAGGCTTTTATATGGGAACTTCTGGGGACGTTTAAGGAACTTCCACGACCAATGTGGTATATCATGGCGGTGACGGCCTTAACTTGGTTCGCCTGGTTCCCGTTTCTACTCTTCGACACGGACTGGATGGGACGGGAAGTTTACAGGGGAGAACCAAACTCCTCGAACAGGCTGCTCGCTTATTTGTACGATACGGGTGTTCGAACGGGGTCTCTCGGTCTGATGCTCAACTCAGTGGTCCTGGGATTGACTTCGCTCTTGATAGAACCATCTTGCCGGAGGATGGGAGCAAGCAATGTCTGGGGGATCGCCAACGTGATTATGTCGATATGTTTCGCTCTCACAGTGCTCATAACGCTTGCTGCTGAAAGGGCCTCCGGGGATGGACCGAGGGAGCCTCCGAAGTCCGTGAGAGCCGCTGCACTTGCCGTTTTCGCTGTGCTTGGAGCACCGCTAGCAGTGAGTAAAACGAGCGAGGGATGACCGTTACAGAGCTTCTTAACTCTCATCACGCCTTTGTGCAGGTCACGTATAGCGTCCCTTATGCTCTGACCGCGACATTTACGAGCTCCATCGGTGGTGGTCAAGGTACTGTCGTTTTCGATCGCTTTCCGTGTTTATTTTCTCCTGAGGAGCTTTGCGCGCGTTGATGAAACAGGCTTGTCCATGGGAGTACTTAACTTGGCAGTCGTGCTACCTCAGGTAAGTGTCCGAACGAAGCCGAACCAAGAGCGTTAATTGTGTGAAACTTGTGTAGGTGGTGGTCTCGTTGGGAAGCGGTCCCTGGGATGCTCTCTTCGGCGGAGGAAACATGCCTTCTTTCCTCTTGGCCGCTGCGGCAGCACTTATTGGCGGAATTCTGGCGATTGGATTGCTCCCGCGTCCCCCGCCTGAGTTCCGTCCGACTGGTCTCATGCGTACCCGGAGCTCTCCCATTCCGTAAGTTCTTTCCGTTGTTGTGAGTTTGTACAGTCGTGCTCGGCAAAATAAGAATTGTTTGATGCAAGCTTTATCATCATTTGAGTCCACACTCGTGCGTCGTGCAGCCGGCCTGTTGGCTGGCTTTCACGACGACGACTTTGAGCAGGTATCGTGCGTCGTGATTCCGATACTTATTTGCTCCTTCTGTTTTAATTCTACCGCCCGTATCAATTGGGATCAAGCTTCTGAGGTATGAAATACTTTATTTACCATTTATTGGATGAATTGAATGACTCTTTTTTCTTAACTTCTATTGCTGCAGACTCTCGCCTCGTGATAAACAAGTCCTGGTTTGCAAAAATATCCTTTGTCTGGAGCACAGTGCCTGGCTTCGCTGCAAACACACAGTCCTTCCAAAGCACATCCATCCTTTGCTGTCACCGGACTTCCTCGGATTCCCAGCACAGCATCAGACCAATCACTTGAAAACCATCCTTGTGGATCCAACTTCCTCCTAGCCGAAAGAAACTTAGACAAATTCTTCGTCTTCCTTCCAATGTCCTGGAATGCATGCGGCCTGTTCTTCCCGAAGTGTGGCTTCCCGTTATACTTAAACAGTAAAAGCTGCTCTATCTCCTCAGCAACGTCCTCGTACGTCTGTGGTTCCCCTGGCCTCCTGTCTCGGAATGTAATGAACTCAATCTGTGCTGCGTCAGTCTTCGGTCCAAGGTAAGCCTGAGAAGCTTTCAAGTATCTAATCTGTAATGCAATGGAAGTGTCAAGCAGACAGAGACGTTCTGGCGACAAGTCTCTCAACTGCTTCACGTCTCGGATAAAGTTGCCAACATCGCTGATGGAGATAGATACCGAGACGTGGAACCAGAATTGGCCATGTGCTCGGAAGTCCCAGCCGCAGACGAGCCTCTCAGACTCCGGAAGAGCCAAGTTGGTGGAGTTGCTGTAGGTGTACTGGCAGCCTCCGCGAGCTTGAAACTTGTGGAAGTATCCGACCACAGGGAATCCCGAGAAACGTTGCTGCTGCTCATCGTTGACGAATCCGCCACCCGTGGAAGTGATGGTGTTTACCGTGTTCTTAGCCGCGGAGCAAAAGAAGGTTGAATTTCCAATCGTTTCAGCTGCTTCTTCTGGAACAGACAATTTAAGATCAGTCGGAAGCAGCAGGAAAGGAAGATTTGGAAAGAAGGAAACAGGGACGTGGATAAAGATAACTGACGGCTCAGTCTTGAACTCCTGGCAGCAGCAGCCTGCACGGGAAGAAACGGAACTCTAATCAAAGCCCCATTTCCTGGCACCGAGAGTGGCGCTCTGTCATCGGTCCTCCACACGTATTTCTTCTGCGAGCTGTACCACAACACTTCCCCAAACTCGTGCTCCCGAGCCAGCCTCAAGAAGTCGTCCTCCAGCGACGCATCGTCCGCCACCGACAGCGTCACAGACCTCTTCGTCATGGGCTGTACGGAGAACGTCAGGTGGGAAATAGCTCCAAGAACTCCCAGCGAGATCCTGGCGGCGTGGAACAGATCACTCCCCTCCGCGACCGTGACAACTTTGGCAAAGCCTTCCTTCTCGGAGGCCGGGACGACGATTCTCGTGGACACGAGGTACTCGTAAGTTCCTCCGCCGCGACTCCACAGGCTGCTGCCGTGAGCCCCCGTGCTCACCATGCCCGCTGGCGACGCGCCGTCCCAGTCGATGGTCTGGTGCAAAGTCACGCCTTGCATCGCCAGGAGATCCATGAGCTCGCCAAGCATGATTCCAGGGGGTGTGGAGACCGTCATGGAGCTCTTGTCGACGACGACGCTCGAGTTGGAGTTGAAGCTAGCGGTGCTGATGACAACTCCCCCTGTGTCGGATCCGGAGTTTGGACACGCGAATTTGGTCATGGTATGTGCCTCCCTGCTTATCACTTTGATCTTCTGCTTGCTCTTGACTGCGTAGGCCACGGCGTCGAGGAGCTCGGCCTCGTTGGTCGGGAAGAACGCCTTGGTGATCTTGCAAGGCCTGCGATCTGGCCATGGACCTCTGAGATAGTTCTTGAGCTCGCAGCCACTCGCATCGCATTCTACTAGAGATCTTACAAGATGCAAGTTGAGAGAAAAGAGGAGGGCGAGGAGGACGAACTTCATGATCTCGAGTACTTGTTGGTGAAAGGTCTCAAAGATTTATGGACCATTTTCTATCAAATGCCACCTTGACTTACGTCAGTAAAATCATTTGATAATTAGTATATTAGAAACAAATGCTGGTTGGTTGACAAAGGCTAGCAAAGAGTAGTTAGTATGGTGTGCAATTTGTGAAAAATGTATGTCCTATAGATGGGGGTAAATTTTTGTGCAATTTAATTACGGCAGCAGCCACCTCAGCATATATTCGGAGCATATACTTAAAATATATAGTGAAGGCTTTTTATTAATCACTTATAAAAAATTTAAACACAAAATGTTTCTCATTTTGCATGATTATGATGTTTACAGAGTCTATGCTAAAACCTTTCTAGAAATCCCTTATTCAAAAGAACATCTAGCATGTTAGCACACATTCTCATTGTTATTTAAACTTTTAAAGGACATATTATTAAATCATACAATTTCATCATATGAGTTATTCAAGTTTGAGCATTCAAGTCTCTCCAAAATAAGTCATTATATTATAAAATTGAAATTTATAAAAACTTTCTTCTGCAAAACTATGGAGATCACCGCAACTTGAAATCTATAATCATAACACACTTGAAACACTTAATATAGGTTTAAGCCTTTTTTGACTCTATGACAAAAACAACAACTCAATCTTCTCTTGATTGTGCTTGTAAATGGTGTACAAATTGTTTGCTTCCAATTATAACCCAAAAAACACCATTCGGTACCAAATGGTGTTTTTTCATGTTTGCCTAATATGACTGAATGGAATATTTTGGGTGCCCTAGACTTAAGTTGTACACACTCACAAACTTTTAGTATAAACCCCAAATATTCAGAATGCATGCTCGTAGTTTTTGTTTGATGGGCTTGAGCTGAAACTAATTTATATCTATTTAAAGCTGTTTAAATCCACATATAAGTTGATTGTGGGTTCAACTCCACCTTCTTCTTGACCTACCCTCACTTGATGCTGGCCTGCTACCTTCGCCTCCTCCTCTTCCTTTCAATGTACAGAAAGGAAAAAATCTAGGCAGCTTATTGATAGATATAAATTTAAATATTTATCTGAAAAGTCCCTCAAAGAGGTTAACAAGGCTAGATTGAGCCCAAGAGGGACATCGTGTCATGGACAACAATGGTCGCCCAAGCTGGAGATTGTTATTTGGCTGCCGCAAGGGAGATCTTCAATGTGAGAGGACGCATCTCTCACGGTAGCTCAAGTACAGGAGGATGATCAAGGCCAGAGATTTTTTTCTTGAAGGGATGCCAGAGATGGAACTTCTATGGTTACAGACGTATTGCAGAAAGCAGGCTCAACAAAGAAGAGGAACTGTCTGGAATGACTTTTAATTTAAGTATATTCCTTACACTAAAACAATTGCTGAGCACATCTCAGAACTGAACAACAAACAAGGAGAAATGATGCATCTTAACTTCTATTGCTGCAGACTCTTGCCTCGCGGTAAACAGGTCCTGGTCTGCAAAAATATCCTTTGTCTAGAGCACAGTGCCTGGCTTCGCTGCAAACACACAGTCCTTCCAAAGCACATCCATCCTTTGTGGTCACCGGGCTTCCTCGGATTCCCAGCACTGAGTCAGACCAATCACTTGAAAACCATCCTTGTGGATCCAACTTCCTCCTAGCCGAAAGAAACTTAGACAAATTCTTCGTCTTCCTTCCAATGTCCCGGAATGCATGCGGCCTGTTCTTCCCGAAGTGTGGCTTCCCGTTATACTTAAACAGTAAAAGCTGCTCTATCTCCTCAGCAACGTCCTCGTACGTCTGTGGTTCCCCTGGCCTCCTGTCTCGGAACGTCATGAACCCAATATTTGCTGCGTCAGTCTTCGGTCCAAGGTAAGCCTGAGAAGCTTTCAAGTATCTAATCAGTAATGTCATGGAAGTGTCAAGCAGACAGAGACGTTCTGGCGACAAGTCTCTCAACTGCTTCACGTCTCGGATAAAGCTGCCGACGTCGCTGATGGAGATAGATACCGAGACGTGGAACCAGAATTGGCCATATGCTCGGAAGTCCCAGCCGCAGACGAGCCTCTCAGACTCCGGAAGAGCCAAATTGGTGGAGTTTCTGTAAGTGTACTGGCAGCCTCCTCGAGCTTGAAACTTGTGGAAGTATCCGACCACAGGGAATCCCGAGAAATGTTGCTGCCGCTCATCATTGAATAATCCGCCACCCGTGGAAGTAATGGTGTTTACGGTGTTCTTAGCAACGGAGCAGAAGAAGGTTGAATTCCCAATCGCTTCAGCTGCTTCTTCTGGAAAACATTCAATTTTAAGATCAGTCGGAGAGCACGAAAGGAAAGGAAAATCCGGGACAGGGATATAGAGGACTTGAACTCCTGGCAGCAGCAGCCTGGACGGGAAGAAACAGAGCTGCAGCGCCATTTCCTGGCACCGAGAGTGGCGCTTTGTCATCGATCCTCGACACAAATTTCGGGTAGAATGACCCCCCTTTATTTAGGGTGGGCCCCGTTTGCTTATTTGGATTTGCATGCCACCTCATTGCTTACATGCACATGCCACCTCATTACTGTATATTATTTTCAACTATTTTTAAGTATTTAAAAGTACAAAATCAAATATATTATTTATTCTACTATAACAGCATTATCTTGATTGTATAGCTTAATATGACTACATAGAATATTAAATGTAGCTTCCTTTCTCTCTCTTGTGGAAGAAGACCAACAGTAATACAAAAACTAAAAGAATATTCCAATACTAAAGAGAATGAATAAAATAAGCAAAGCAATTAGTCTAACCATAATACTAAAGAGAATGAATAAAATAAGAAAGAAAATATAAGGAGCACAAACATAAAACACAATGAGGAAAAACCTAAACCAATCGTAGGTTATATACTTATAAATTATAGCCGTTCATTCACTGGCTAATTATAAAATTATAGTCCTTAACATATCCGTTAACAGCATCTACTAATTAAAATTTAGCGTTAAACATTTAGGGTGCAGAGCTGGGCGTGACTAAGCGCCACGGAGGAAGCAAGGAGTGAGCGTGCTGTATTGTGCATTTCTTCCCAAATTTCTTCTGCGAGCTGTACCACGACACTTCCGCAAACTCGCGCTCCCGAGCCAGTGTCAAGAAGTCCTCTTCCAGAGACGCATCGTCCGCCACCGACAGCGTCACAGACCTCTTCGTCATGGGCTGTACGGAGAACGTCAGCTGGGAAACAGCTCCAAGAACTCCCAGCGAGATCCTGGCGTCGTGGAACAGATCACTCCCCTCCGCGACCGTGACAACTTTAGCAAAGCCTTCGTTCTTGGAGGCCGGAACGACGATTCTCATGGACACGAGGTACTCGTAAGTTCCTCCGCCGCGACCCCAAAGGCTGCTGCCATGGGCCCCCGCGCTCACCATGCCCGCCGGCGACACGCCGTCCCAGGCGATGGTCTGGTGCAAAGTCACGCCTTGCATCGCCAGGAGATCGATAAGCTCGCCAAGCATGATTCCAGGGGGTGTGGAGACCGTCATAGAGCTCTTGTCGACAACGACGCTCGAGTTGGAGTTGAAGCTAGCGGTGCTGATGACAACCCCCCCTGTGTCGGATCCGGAGTTTGGACACGCGAATTTGGTCATGGTATGTGCCTCCCTGCTTACCACTTTGATCTTCTGCTTGCTCTTGACTGCGTAGGCCACGGCGTCGAGGAGCTCGGCCTCGTTGGTCGGGAAGAACGCCTTGGTGATCTTGCAAGGCCTGCGATCTGGCCATGGACCTCTGAGATAGTTCTTGAGCTCGCAGCCACTCGCATCGCATTCTACTAGAGATCTTACAAGATGCAAGTTGAGAGAAAAGAGGAGGGCGAGGAGGACGAACTTCATGATCTCGAGTACTTGGTGGTGAAAGCTCTCAAAGATTTATGGATCATTTTCTATCAAATGCCACCTTGACTTACGTCAGTAAAATCATTTAATAATTAGTATCCCAGGAAACGCTAATTGACTCTTAGAGAGAAAATATGTTTATAAGTTGTTACTTTCCACAAAATACATAGCATGAAAGCAAATATCAGTCAATGAAGGCCATTTGTCTTTGCGGCGTAGCTATCACTGGGAACATCATGTGCACCACAAGACCAACCAGCTAACACCAGTCCTTCAAAATGTTCGTAAAATTCCGAGATGTTTCTGATACTGCATCTTGTCTTTGAGCTCCAAGTGCCACTTCCCACAAGTAAAGCAATGCGGCCAAGGAGAAAGAAAGATTTGGATCAGAGTCAAGTAAGCCATAATCAAACTCCACACTATAGAAAAACTGAAATTCAATTCTTGAAAATTCACAAGAGATTTAATTACTGAATCTACTACTCCACACAGGAGCAATGCTTGGATTGACATATGCTCTAGTGAAAATTAGCACTAGAAATGCAGCGCCTAGATCAAGAACATTAGTATTAGTATTTTGCAATGAGTGAAATTGAGGATTTCTGTAGTGCCAACAAACAAGAAGAGCATCATCTTCATGGTTACCCAAGACAACCTATCAAGCCCTGGAGATAGAGGTGTTGGTTATTTAAATCCACATAAGTTGATCATGTGATATAAATTATTAAGAGTTCCAGTTGAGGATGCTGGATTGAGCTCTATTGAGTGGATCCCAGGCAAGCCTGAGGAGCTTTCAAGAATCTAATCTGCAATGCAAGGGCAGTATCAAGCAGACAACGACGTTCTGGTGATAAGTCTTTCACGTCCCGGATAAAGCTGGCCGATGGAGATAGATACCGAGACGTGGAACCAGAATAGGCCGTAAGTTCGGAACTCCCAACCACAGACGAGCCTCTTGGACACCGGGAGAGCCAAGTTGGTGGAGTTGCTATAAGTGTACTGGCAGCCCCCTCGAGCTTGAAACTTGTGGAAGTATTTCCGACCCGAGAAATGTTGCTGCTGCTCATCGTTGAATAATCCGCCAACCGTGGAAGTAATGGTGTTCACGGTGTTCTTAGCAACGGAACAGAAGAAGGTTGAATTCCCAATCGCTTCAGCTGCTTCTTCTGGAAACAATTCAATTTTAAGATCAGTCGGAGAGCACGAAAGGAAAGGAAAATCCGGGAGAACGGCTCAGTCTTGAACTCCTGGCAGCAGCAGCCTGACGGGAAGAAATAGAGGTGTAGTCTCAGCCCCATTTCCTGCCACCGAGAGTGGCGCTCTGTCATCGGTCCTCCACACGTATTTCTTCTGCGAGCTGTACCACAACACTTGCCCAAACTCGTGCTCCCGAGCCAGCCTCAAGAAGTTGTCCTCCAGCGACGCATCGTCCGCCACCGACAGCGTCACAGACCTCTTCGTCATGGACCGTACAGAGGCCGGGACGACGATTCTCATGGACACGAGGTACTCGTAAGTTCCTCCTCCGCGACTCCACAGGCTGCTGCCGTGAGCCCCCGTGCTCACCATGCCCGCTGGCGGGTGCAAAGTCACGCCTTGCACCGCCAGGAGATCCATGAGCTCGCCAAGCATGATTCCAGGAGGCGTGGAGGCCGTCATGGAGCTCTTGTCGACGACGACGCTCGAGATGGAGTTGAAGCTAGCGGTGCTGATGACAACTTCCCCTGTGTCGGATCCGGAGTTTGGACACGCGAATTTGGTCATGGTATGTGCCTCCCTGCTTACCACTTTGATCTTCTTGCGATCCGGCCATGGACCTCTGAGATAGTTCTTGAGCTCGCAGCCACTCGCATCGCATTCTACTAGAGATCTTACAAGAGCAAGTCGAGAGAAAAGAGGAGGGTGGACGAACTTCATGATCTCGAGCACTTCCGGTGAAAACTCTGTCAATAAAATGATTTAATAATTAGTATATTGGTGGGTTGACAAACCCTAGGTATGAAAGCAAGAATCAGTCAATGAAGGCCATTTGTCTTTGCGGCCTATCTATCACTGGGAGCACCAATCCTTCATAAGGCTTGTAAATTCCATCCTGTCACTTCCCGCAAGTAAAGCAATGCAGTCAAGGAGAAAGAAAGATTTGAGTCTTGATCAAACTCCACAGTAGAGAAAAATTGAATTTCATAGTTAATGAAATTCAAATGAAACTCTTGTAAAATCTTGAAAATTCAAAAGAGATTCTTAATTACTGAATTAGTATTCTCCTAGAAATGCTAGTGCTTATCAGCGTAGTAATTTCAAGTAACTGGTAGTGCCTTTATTTGGCACATATCGCTTTGCCACATAAGCTGAGATTGCCAATAAAAATTTCATATAATTATATCATATTAATAATTCACAATGAGTGAAATCTCAAATTTCTCTAGTGCAAACAAAGAAGAGGAACATCATCTCCTGCCCAGCTAAGACAACCTATCAAGCCTTGGAGATAAAACTCCATAGTTCTACAGGTCATTAAAGTTTTGATGGGTGTGCAATTTAAAGGTTCTTTTATCCCACTCTAAAAACACTTTAAAAATCGGTCATTAGGGCACTAATTTATGTGTTTTTAAGGGTTTCCAAAAAAAATCAAAATTAGGATAATATTTTTAGTTATTTCTTTTTATTCCTTTTTTGATAATTTGGTACATTGATTTAAATTTTTCCTCAACAAAATAATGAATATTCTAAATAAACCCTTAAGTTGTACACACTCACAAACTTTTAGTATAAACCCCAGATATTCAGGGAGTCTGGGAGAATGCTCGCTCGATGTTTTTGTTTGATCTAAGTGAGATACTTGATTGGCTTGAGCTGAAGCTAATTCATATCTATTTAAAACTGTTTAAATCCACATATAAGTTGATTGTGGGTTCAACTCCACCTTCTTCTTGACTTACCCTCATTGATGCTGGCCTGCTACCTTAGCCTCCTCCTCTTCCTTTCAATCTACAGCAAAGAAAAACTCTAGGTAGCTTATTGATAGATATAAATTTTAAATATTTATCTGGCTTAGATATAAACTATTAAGAATTTCTCAAAGCTGTTAACAAGGTTATAGGAGGAATAAGAGCTAGATTAGGCCCAAGAGAGACATTGTGTCACGGGCAACAATGATCGCCCAAGCTGGAGTATTTGGCTGCTGCAAGGGAGATCTTCAATGTGAGAGGACGACAGCCTAGCTCAAGAACAGGAGGATGATCAAGGGCAGAGATTTTTTTCTTGAAGAGGATGCCAGAGATGGACGACTTCCATGGTTAGAGACGTATTGCAAAGGGCAGGCTCAACGAAGAAGAGGAACTGTCTGGAATAATTTTTTTGACTTTTTAACTTGTTGACCTTCTTGATTCTTTAAAAAATATAATCCGATATTTTAAGTATATTCCTTACACCGAGCACATCTCAGAACTGAACAACAAACAAGGAGAAATGATGCATCTTAACTTCTATTGCTACAGACTCTTGCCTCGCGATAAACAAGTCCTGGTCTGCAAAAATATCCTTTGTCTGGAGCACAGTGCCTAGCTTCGCTGCAAACACACAGTCCTTCCAAAGCACATCCATCCTTTGCTGTCACCGGACTTCCTCGGATTCCCAGCACAGCATCAGACCAATCACTTGAAAACCATCCTTGTGGATCCAACTTCCTCCTAGCCGAAAGAAACTTAGACAAATTCTTCGTCTTCCTTCCAATGTCCCGGAATGCATGCGGCCTGTTCTTCCCGAAGTGTGGCTTCCCGTTATACTTAAACAGTAAAAGCTGCTCTATCTCCTCAGCAACGTCCTCGTACGTCTGTGGTTCCCCTGGCCTCCTGTCTCGGAACGTCATGAACTCAATATTTGCTGCGTCAGTCTTCGGTCCAAGGTAAGCCTGAGAAGCTTTCAAGTATCTAATCAGTAATGTCATGGAAGTGTCAAGCAGACAGAGACGTTCTGGCGACAAGTCTCTCAACTGCTTCACGTCTCGGATAAAGTTGCCAACATCGCTGATGGAGATAGCTATAGAGACGTGGAACCAGAATTGGCCATAAGCTCGGAAGTCCCAGCCGCAGACGAGCCTCTCAGACTCCGGAAGAGCCAAATTGGTGGAGTTGCTGTAGGTGTACTGGCAGCCTCCGCGAGCTTGAAACTTGTGGAAGTATCCGACCACAGGGAATCCCGAGAAATGTTGCTGCCGCTCATCATTGAATAATCCGCCACCCGTGGAAGTAACGGTGTTCACGGTGTTCTTAGCAACGGAGCAGAAGAAGGTTGAATTCCCAATCGCTTCAGCTGCTTCTTCTGGAAAACATTCAATTTTAAGATCAGTCGGAGAGCACGAAAGGAAAGGAAAATCCGGGACAGGGATATAGAAGACTGACGGCTCAGTCTTGAACTCCTGGCAGCAGCAGCCTGAACGGGAAGAAACAGAGATGCAGCGCCATTTCCTGGCACCGAGAGTGGCGCTTTGTCATCGATCCTCGACACAAATTTCTTCTGCGAACTGTACCACGACACTTCCGCAAACTCGTGCTCCCGAGCCAGTGTCAAGAAGTCCTCTTCCAGAGACGCATCGTCCGCCACCGCCAGCGTCACAGACCTCTTCGTCATGGGCTGTACGGAGAACGTGAGCTGGGAAACAGCTCCAAGAACTCCCAGCGAGATCCTGGCGGCGTGGAACAGATCACTCCCCTCCGCGACCGTGACAACTTTAGCAAAGCCTTCGTTCTTGGAGGCCGGAACGACGATTCTCATGGACACAAGGTACTCGTAAGTTCCTCCCCCGCGACCCCAAAGGCTGCTGCCATGGGCCCCCGTGCTCACCATGCCCGCCGGCGACACGCCGTCCCAGGCGATGGTCTGGTGCAAAGTCACGCCTTGCATCGCCAGGAGATCGATAAGCTCGCCAAGCATGATTCCAGGGGGCGTGGAGACCGTCATAGAGCTCTTGTCGACAACGACGCTCGAGTTGGAGTTGAAGCTAGCGGTGCTGATGACAACCCCCCCTGTGTCGGATCCGGAGTTTGGACACGCGAATTTGGTCATGGTATGTGCCTCCCTGCTTACCACTTTGATCTTCTGCTTGCTCTTGACTGCGTAGGCCACAGCGTCGAGGAGCTCGGCCTCGTTGGTCGGGAAGAACGCCTTGGTGATCTTGCAAGGCCTGCGATCTGGCCATGGACCTCTGAGATAGTTCTTGAGCTCGCAGCCACTCGCATCGCATTCTACTAGAGATCTTACAAGATGCAAGTTGAGAGAAAAGAGGAGGGCGAGGAGGACAAACTTCATGATCTCGAGTACTTGTTGGTGAAAGCTCTCAAAGATTTATGTATCATTTTCTATCAAAGTCAATTTTTGCCACCTTGACTTGTCAATAAAATCAAGTAGTATCCCAGAAAATGCTGGCTGGTTGACAAAGCCTACACTATACTTTTAGAGAGAAAATATGTTTATAAGTTGTTACTTTCCAAGAGCTGGACAAAATACATAGTGTGAAAACAAGAATGAAGGCCATTTGTCTTTGCGGCGTAGCTATCATTGGGAACATCAACCAGCCAGCACCAGTCCTTCGAAATTTTTGTAAAATTCTGGGATGTTTCCAATACTGCATCCTGTCTTTGAGCTCCAATTGCCGCTTCCCGCATGTAAAGGAATGCAGCCATGGAGAAAGAAAGATTTGGAAATAAGTTAGTGTCAAGTAAGTTTTATCAAACTCCTCACTAAAGAAAAACTGAATTTGAAAATCGAATGAAATTTTTGTGAATTCCTGAAAATTCAAAAACTGAATCTAAAATTCCATATAAGCAATTGGATTGAGAAGATGCTCTAGGGGAAATCAACACCTAGAAATAAGTGCTTAGATCAGTATAGAAATTTCAAGTACTTGGTACCTCATTGAGAGCACAAATATTTTGTGAATATTAGGGCTTCAAACTTCACTAAGAATACTGTTATTAACTCCCATGCTAACAAAAAAGATCATCATCTCCATGAGAAAAAATCAAACCATCCCCTTGAGTCAATTGGAAAAGAAGCAATTGTTTTATGAGAGAGTTCTTAATAACTATTTTATCTCTATTTATCCCTTAAAGTTCCAAGAATCCATAGTGATAATATATTTAAATCTCATTCCATGATCACATGCGCTACACTCAACCCCCTTTCAAAGATGTCAATGTTTGCATTGACTATTAAATAGCAACACCTATTGAGCCAAAGGGAATCAACACTTCCATTTTTACACTAAATCTACTAATCTTTCAATTGTGTAAATTAGTTATTCCATGTGAGATAGCTAATCATCCACCCGTACCGTAGTCATACAGTGGATACCTTCATCTGTGGATACTTCACATAAAAGGAAGGACATATGTATGGATGCCCAATACATATAATTTTAAATTTAAGGGTAAGAATATATTTACACTGAATCTACCAATCCTTCTATTGTGTAAATTAGCTATTCCTGTACCATTTACTCTAATACCATATATAGCACATTTTATCTCTCTCCTTTTAAGTTAACTGGAAAAAAGGCAATTATTTGATGAGAAAGCCCTTAATGGTTATTTTATCCTTATTTATCCCCTAATATTCCAAGAATTCATGGTAACATTATATCTAAATTTCATCCCATGATTACATGTGTTACACTGGATTTGCTATTTGATAGTTTTACATATCATTAAAGCTTTTATAGGTGAGTATAGTGCATGTGATCATAGGATGAGATTTGGATATACTGTCACTGTGCATCTTTGGAACTTTGGGGGATAAATGGGGATAAAATAGCTACCAAGGGCTCTCTCATCAAGCAATTGCCCCTTTTCTAGTTGGCTTAAGGGGAGAGAGATT